AAAATTTTGATAGTAATCTTTTGGAAAGATTTTTTACGCGAAATAGTTTCCTGCGTCTGAGTTTATGGCGATTTTTTAGCTCTTGGTGAATGCGGATGGATGAGCAAAGACTGGCATTGCCTTATAAAGCGTAGACTTTTAGTTTATTCTCTGTTATTGTTGCAAGAATTTCGAAATGGGATTGTTGGTTGATTGATAAGTTAGTTAGCTGATTGATTGGTTGGCTATTTGTTTGTTCATCTGTTTAAGTTTTGATTCAAATGTTGGTTGACTGGCTGAATAATTTATTAATTTATTATTCATAATAATTTTTTCAAAATTTGGTTTCCAGAAGTATAAAATAAGTAAATAATTTTTATTTTTTTATTCCATCCAGTTAGAGCAATTAGAATAAATCATGCGTGATGACGTCAGTGAAACGTCACGATCCTTCAAAGAACGGACATCTATGATTACGTGTGTGTGTGTGTGTTTGTGTGTGTGTGTGTGTGTTTGCCTATGTGTGCGAGTGTGTGTTGGTGTCAACTTCATGTACATCTATGTCTGTGTGTATGGGCCGATATATTTATGTGTGTACGCGCGCAAACGTTTTTTTTTTATCATCATCAACTTTTATTGATCACATTCATCATCGTCAAGTTTTTCCGTGGTCTTATTGTTATCACAATCGTCCTTATCATTACCACAATCGCCACAACCACACTGACCGACAAGAAGGTAGTGTTGCCACTGAGAGAGGCAGGTCTGGGAATTCCATAACTCGCCCAAAGGTTCAGGAATGCTTTCAACTGGCGACTGCTCGGATCCACTATTGAGTAACCTAACACGTTTGATCCCATCCCCACGGAAATGCTGGGATCTAGCAGGCCTATGTTCTGTTGCGTGGTGTGTGGTTTATGAGCTAGAAAGGTGTGTGCCATAGTTGAAAGTAGCGGTTTCGTCTTACGGTAACAACAATTATAATAATAATAATTATTATTATTATTAAAACTTGTAATATAATTAATTGTTCAAGTACGATCATTAGTATAGAACAAAAACTTCACCAACCATGTTTGCCAGTACGAAAGTGTGCTTAACACCACGCGGTGAATTATTCTGTGAAAAAAAAAAATTTTAATACGAAAAATGATCTCAAAACAGCTTTTAAGATAATCAACTTTGTAAATATTTTCAATGTCAAATACATTAACGGCATCAATATCACTAGCATCAATGGCATCAGCAGCAACGACAGCAATGAACATTCGTGTGACATGAATCTTCTTAATTCACGGTGGAAAATTACGATGATGATGATTATGCTTATTGCATGCATGTACTGCACATTTTTCTTTGAAAGATTTCAGTTATTAAAATTTTTACGACATAATCCTGACTGTTTCTAACAACAACAGGGGACGGATTATTAGTTATTTATTTTGTAGAGTTTCAAAACTTTTTAATAAGTTTCTTTGTTTAGGGTGTTGAAAATTTTGCTCGAAATCTTGCTAACAATTAAATGAAAACTATCTCATGTAATAATCTGCACTGTGAATATTTGTGCCAAATAAGTTTGTTTGTTGTGAATGCACGTACATTGTGAATGAAGTGATTTACACACGAACTCAGTTCAAAAAGCAGAACTCGAACATTTATGTACTTGAGTACCGGTTGTCAGTATTTGTACTTGTCGCTCAGACCTATGCACTGTATTTTCATTTGTACTGGGGATCTGATTGCACAGGACTTTGTTATTTTTACTTGAATAACTTGAAAACGTTGTAACATAATCGTGTGATGTTTTTATCAGGTTACTGGCTTCAAACGCAAGGTTATACCGCAATTCCTCGAGTTTGTATTCACATTTGAAAAGTAAGCCAATCCGTTGAGGGAGTTGATAACAAATGTTGATCTAATTAAGCGTTGGACAAGATTCTTGTGAAAAAATGTTTTGAAAAATAGTAATGAGTTTAAAAATAAAAAATGGAATAAAATGTTTTTTGGCCAAGAATCTTCAACAATTGTTTAAAAAATTTGCCAGAACAAAATTGGAATCGTAAAAATTTTATAAAAAATTAAAAAAAGAAAACGAAAAACAAACGAAATGTGTCCAAGAACATTTTTGAAAAGGTAAAAACACAAATAACAAATTGGACCATCAAGCAGAGTGACGTCGTCTTTTCACGAAAATTTCTTCCCCTTCCCCGAACGGCAAACAAGAAAAAAGTATTGCAATTCAGAAGATGAATTTGTAGAGTAGAAGATCAGTTGGTCCTACCTACACGTCTGCACCGGCAGGAAATATTTTATTTAAATTTTTTCGCAGTTTTGACTATAAATATTTTGATAAATTATGAAATGTTTTTGTTCTCGCGTAGCGCAAGTTATCACATTTTAGAAATTTAATTGAAATAAAAAACATTGTTAATCAAATCTTCGTGGACCAGTTTGCAAGTTTTCGACTAATTTCATTAAATGAAATGAGTTTTCAGTTTAATGGAATTAAATTTAATAAAATTAAATATTCATGAGGATGTAATCCACGCGAATTTAAGAAAAAAATAAAATTAAAGAGCTCTACACCTGGTGCGGGCTCTCTTCAGCAACAACAAAATTTCATTGGAAGTGTTCCTCAGTTGTTTGCATGCTTCAATTAGTTTTGTGACGTTTATATGTGTTTGTATTATTGTTTGTCAAGTATTTCTGCGGTTTATTTGTTTCTATGTTTATATTATTTGTTTTGTCTGAATGACATGTGTTTACTCTCTTGTGTTATCAAAAAAAATTCTAGAATAACATGAAAATTTATGAAAATTTGTAACTTCTCAAACGATTTGCTAAAAATATAGGTGAAATTTTTTAACTTTTAAAGTTATACACACACACAAACACAAACACACACACACACACAAACACACACATACACACAAACATACATTCACACACACACACACACATGTACAACAATCGCATGTTGATTTTTCATTGACTTAATGCTGGCTGACGGTGGAATGCATTTGGTTCCCTTTAATCCATTTACGCAAACATCTCTGTTTGATCTTTCGTTTTAATTCACGCGAAATAATCTTTTTAAAATAGTAAATAAAAAAATAAATACAAATAAATAAATTAGATGAATTTTAAAACAATTAAATAATATATATATATATATATTTAAATGTTGGTAATAGACCATAATTTATACAATATTCTATAAATTCTACCGAATGTTTGGTGTTAATACGTTTGTAGTTCGAACTACAAACATATTAACGCCAAACATTTGGTAGAATTTATAGAATATTGTAAAAATATGTATTTAAATAGATAATTGTTTAAATAAAAATGTTTTTTTAAACTTTTTGTCTTAATATTGGCACGTTTAACGAAAAGACAAAAACAAATGATGATGGAGACAAGCAAGGAAGTTGAAAAATGTTGAATATGAAAAAAATATGATTTCCATGAAATTTGCATCAACCTTGTGCCCCATTTTAAATGATGATCTCCCATTTAACAAGATGCGACGCCCATGCAAATTTCTCGTACATTTTTCATGAAGGCGTTTTTTCAAATATTTTTTCAAAGATTTTCTATTTTCTTAAAATATTAAAAAAAACCTGACTTTTCTCCAAAAATTGAAGCAAATAATACATTATCCTGAAGTTTAAAAAAGAACATGACAGATGCACGTGCTAAAAGCGGCTTACAAATTTTTTTTTTATATTTCTTAACAAGATAATGCCTACCACGCATGCTTTCTTGCCCCAACATTTTTTTTGCCATTTGCTTTTTTTATAACAGAACCACGGGTAAGTTGAACCAGTTGGGTAAAGGTTAAAGGGTAAAGTCGCTTATTTATAATAAATACCGGTAGGCTTTTAATAATTATAACTACTAATGCGTAAAGAACTAGCCAAGTTAATCTGCCATGTTTGTTTATGTCTGCAAACTGTCAAGCAGGTGTCGCTTATGTGATTTTGTCGTTTTTGAGTAATTTTCAGTCACTGAAGTGATTGTCCTTTACAATACAATTGCAGTAGTGTAAATAATTTTACGATACATATTTTTGCTGTGTTTTTATCCAGTAAAACAGTTGCGTACTTCATGTAATATGTTAATGAGTCTACAGTTGAAATACTAGGCGAGGTTTCTGTCCTAGGACCGCTCTCGGTTAACCCTCTTGGTGTATGTATCAACTGAAAATTTTTAAACATTATTTTTTTGTATGTACTTGAACAATGATGGCTAGAGATAAAGATTATCACTAACAAAAAAATTTTAGAAATGGAAAGATGAGATGGATGTTGCTAGGAATGATCATGCCATGCTTCACTCAAAGTGCGTTTGTTGTCAGATGTTTCAATTTTTTGAGTCATGTTTTTGATGCATGACAACATTGAAGATGATGGTGAAGATGGAGAGAACGATGAAAATGAAGATGATGGTGAAAATGACTACGATGGTTTTAATAGAATGTGATGATGGTGACTAAATTTTTAATTATGATGATTTTTATGCTAATGAGTAGTGGAAAAATTATATTTTTGCATTTCACTTTTTTAAATTTAAATTTAGAATTTTATTAAACTTCTTGAAAAATACGCACACTCATACATAAACACACGCACGCACACACATACACGCACACATGCACACTCACACACATACAAACACACAGCTGCCATTACCATACATTAAACGTTCGGCGAAAAAATGTTAATTTTTTCAGATATAAACGTCGTGCAGTTATAAATCAGATGGCATTTAGGTGCAAAGCAATGAAGCTTGAACACCCCCCGAAGCATAGTTAAATGGACTGTTCCATTACTTTTTCTCTCCGATGATTCAACCGCTAAACCTTATTAAAACCAATATAATATTATTAATATTTTCAGGCTAATTTTTCATTTCAAAAATTTTTATGCACCAACATTTTGAATTTTGAAAAAAACTGACAAACTAAATTAAATTTTTGATCGATAATTTTGAAGTTTCAATATTTTTTAATATTTTATTTAAAGTTCGCTGCCGGTGCGACTGTCAATGCTGACGAACGTGGCTCGCAGCTGAGTTCATTCAGCAGGCTGTTTGTTGTTTTATTGTGGACGCCGCAAGTTTAAGTGGCACGCTTATTACATTTCGACTGCGTTTCGATCGATAGGAAGTCTTATTATTATTAATATTATTATTATTATTATAACTGTAACTATTTTTTATTACTAATATTATTATTACTATTTTGCAAGATTTTTGTTTCATTTCTATGGAAATAAAACTTTCCCACTGTCGAAATTGCCCATGTTGATGTTATAAACCAACGCTGCTTTAATTTTTAATGAAAGGGAAGCGGCAAAATTTTTGCGAAAGGAGAAAAAATGGCCGAACATATTTTGAGGAATTTCTTCAAACTTTGTCTTTTAAAATAACTTTCGAATCGATGCTAACATGTTCAGTTTTGCTGTTCGTCATTCACGCTCTGCTAACTGAAAACAAGAAGCCGAAAGTAAATAAAACTGCTAAGGTAGGCGTACCACGAAATGAACAACAACGTACAACTATCTACATCGACAACATCGACAATGTCATGTATATCAAACTTGGATTAGAAAAAATATGAATGAAATTTATGAACGTCGCAATGCGAAGGAATCGATAGTCGTGAATGTAAAACATAAAATGTAACATAAAAAATCACATAGTACAGCAGACAAATACTGTTAAAAAAGGTAGTGATAGAGACACGGCGTCTGAATTAATAAATATAATTTTTTCAACTATAAAGTTATCAAACTTGATAAAGAAATTGATTGATTGTAGATATCGCAAAGAAGAAAGTCATACAAAGCTCTCGTGTTTCTGATATTTTAATTTGTCGCCTTCCAGAGCTGACGAAGTGACAAAAGTGTATTGCCCGTTGTGAGCTGACATTAAAAAAGTGTCTGCAAAAGTTTTTGTCTAATTTAGTATTTTGTTGTTTTCAAACTAAAATAAAATAAAATAAAAATTTAATTCAAAATCACAAAAAAGCCTATTCAAGTTTATAAATATTTAAACACAGATAATCCGAGCTAGAGCTAAATGCAAAAGAATTCAAACAAAATTTATTTAGAAACCAGCACGAAATGTTTTTATAAGTGCCACGCAGAGTGTACAAAAGTGTTTTAGAATGTATAGTAGGTACAATCAACATGAGTCAGTTTGAAGAACACTTGAAAGAAAATGACCAACCTGGGATGCGATGACACGTCTGCAGTTGGAGACATCCATATTAAGGATGATGCACTTGTTCGAAGGATCCTCATCATCCAACTTCTTTAACAGGTCCACAGCCTCCCGTCCATCTCTCAATCGCTGAAGCTGCGTTTTGATCCTGACGTTTTTGAAGTCGTTGTGGTGCTGCTTGTGGTCGTCAGTGTGGTCGGTAAAGTAGCTGATGTCACGTTTGCTTCCCAGAGTTGACAGTTCGTGATAGAAAAGTAAACCTAACAGAAATTATTATAATGTTTTCAGATAAAACAACGAATCCTTCATAAAAACTATTAAATGTTTTTTTTTTTTACAAAACTTGTATGTTTTAAAAAATTATGACGATCCAAACGTTTTGTGTTGGGCGACAACTGTCACGGCACACGCAAACAGGCGGCTTAAACAAAGTCAGCCTAAGAAAACGATGTACATTCAATTGAATAATAATTCAAGGTCTGCTTGAGCCATCACTCGCTTCACTGTCTCTCACTGTATTAATGACCTCGCAAGAGAATGCAAAATAAAAAAAAACGTTCTACGCTCTGGTTGGTAGATGAAGATAATTTTATTTTTACATTTTATTTCTACATCCAACAAGTAAATTGATGATTCGACATGGGAATGGCGAGCCTGAGCTATCAGACGTGCACACACATGTCGAGTTGAATTAAGTACGTGAAAATACTTTGAAAATTCAAACTATTATTATTATCATCATCGTTGTTATTTTTTGCTCCCGTATAATTTATACAATTTTAGTTTTAACCTCTCTAACAATCCTTGAAACAAATGCCACAAAAAATATATTTAAAGGAGAAATCCACAAACCGTGGCGTATCAAAATCCAAAATACATCACATCGCATACACAGAGAAAATAATCCACACACTAATTCAATCACATTTTTGTTCCGTTCAATTATTTACATAGATGAAAAGTAGTTTTCCGCTGTTGTTTTTGTTGTGGTTTTTTTCCTTCTCTCTCTCTCTCTCTCTCTCTCTCTCTCTATCTCTCTTTCCTCTCTCCTTCTCATACTTAATTAGCAACACAAATATTATTATTATTATTATTACTATTATTATTGTTATTATTATTATTGTTATCATTATTATTATTATTATTATCATCATCATCAATAAAGTTATTCTTTTCATAGTTGATCAATTATTTCTTTTTTAATCATCGTCTTCGTCGTCGTCGTCATCAGCGTCATTATCTTTATATTTATCTATTTTTTTATAATTTTAATAACAATAAATGATAATAGTAATAATAGTAATTATAATATTAAAATAATAATAATAATAATAATATTAATAAAACTTGTTATGGTGATTTAATGATAATAATGAATGATCGGATGGAGTAGTGGTTAAGGTGCCTGATGTCGGTGCTGTATGATCCGGGTTTGAATGCGTTGAGATACCAGTCTGCCATTGAAAACCACAACAATAACAAAACCGCAGCAGCAACAACAACAACAACAACAACTGATACTTTTTAATGAAATAAACGAAAAAAACAATTAGAGATGAACTAACAAACAGAATCAAACATACCATAACAAGCACTAAACCAGAAGTAAACCACGAAAAACAAAACATATAAACAAGCGCGCTAACAAATAAACAAACAAACAAAGAAATAAACAAACAAACAAGCAAACAAACATACGAACGGAAAAGAAACACAACGGCAAAAGTCAGGACTTGAAGCATTAGGAGCGAATTATGTATGAAGGTTCATTCTACGTAACGGCATACAATCTCTGTTGATTCAGCATTATGTAACATTGCTGCTGTGTAATGGTAATTGTTATGGGGAGTGTGCGGAATAAACCACAACAACAACCAAAACATGGCGAGGGTAGATTATTTTGTGGTTTTTGCTCATGTACGTGTATGTGTGTGTGTCCAAATGTGTGTGCGTATGAGTGCGTATGTGTATGTTTGTGAGTGTGTGTGTGATGATTTTATATTTGAAGTTTTTTTTTCTGCTTAGTGATTGACTTGAATAAATATTTACTGGAGTGCCAGTTTGAACATCGGTCCGAGTGATGTTTCAATAAAATGTCCTTAATGGCCGGTCATAAACGTTGGTTGACCACTGGCTAGTCAGTGCTTTAAGGTTTGTTTTCTATGTTGGTATGTGCCGCGAGATTCGCATGTTTTGTCTTTATTGCTTTCGGTCTATTTATGGCTTCATTTATTTATTGATCGTTGATTTTTTTCCTTTAGTTGTTTTTATACAATAACTAATTATTTCAAAGTTAAAAATTTGTTTGAATTATTCAGTAGGCAATAATTTGTAAAAAAAATTCTTTAGGAGCTTTAACCAGCGTTACAATATCAAAAGATTTAAGTGCATGACGCACGTAGAAATTAGAGGAACACTGGCAAGCAGCATGCTCCATTCCTGGAGAATTTGATGCGTAGAAAGCACGTCTCCGTGTTTTAATAAAATATTATTGCTTAACTTTTACATTTTCAGCTAACTTTTCGTTTAAATCAACGTGTGTTAATGTTAATGAACAAATAAACAAGTGATACACAACAATATATGATCTAATCAAAATGAACATTTTATAGGTGTAAATAGATATTTAACTTTGAAAATGGGAAGATGTAGCATTCGTTTTTAGCATTAATTAATTATTAATTAACAAGTGAAAATGAATGGTTCAAGTAAAAGTTTTTAATCCAATAAAACGGTGGGAACTCATTCAGTTCAATGAGATGCAAATAAAGGAAGAAGCAAGACAATGAAACAAGACACAAACAAACAAACAAACAAACAGATGCGCAACAGACACACAAACATCAACAGAGACGAATACATGCCGAGATGATGACAGGCTGATTAAAAAAATGTTCTTCAAACAAAAGTAAGCCCAGGCACGCACCCAGCAAGCACACACAAACAGCCAATTTTACTGAAAGCAATTTTAGCGAATGATAATTACTACCCAAAAGTCATATAACTTGGAAATTTTAGCCAGCCAGCCAATCAACCAACCCGTCAGCCAGCCTACCAACCAAACAATCAACCAATCAACCACCTAGCCAATCAACCGAACAACCAACCACCAAACCAACCAAGCACTTATCCAACTAACCAACCAACCGACCAAGCCATGAACCACATGTGTTACGAAACACGAGGGGTGTGGATATAGGCAACATTACAACTCAAAACCAATTTGTCAGTTTCCATAATTATTCCATCTTTCAGGATTTAATACTGGGATACCACTCGTCGAATGTTTTATTTCAATGTATATAAATGGAGTGTTTATGTTGTGGTTTTTAGCTGCTGTTAAGTAGACGTTGTGTTTTTATGGTCGTTGATGATGATGTTTTATCGTTTTGTGTCTGCCGGTACTAAAGTTTTATTATTAATGTTTTTGTTGTTAATGTTTTGTTGTTGAAATTGATTTTTTATTCTTGGGTTGTTGGTGTTGGTGTTATTGTTGGAATTGTTGTTGTTGTTGATGCGTTGTTGTTGTTGGTAGTGGTTGTAGCGTTAAAAACTTTGATGATAATTTTGTTGTTTGTGTCATTTGAGTTGAAATCGTTGCTGAACATAAAAATATAGTTAAAAACAAAAATATTATAAAACCTTTTCATCAATTTAACCATCAAAAAAAATGTAAAAACATAAAAACCAAAAAGAAAAAAATTATATCAAAAATTGAAAACAGAAAAAGTTTCTTTAATTTTGCATAGAATCAATGCTGAAAGAATGGCTTGAGATTAATTAATTATTTGTTATTCTATGGTACGTATATTAGGTCTTTGATTCTTTTTTATTCTATGGTACTCACACGTTTGGTCTTAATGGCCAAAAATGTAGTAAAGGCATATTATCGTCCATCCAATTTTGGTTGGATGGTTTTTTTTGAGGAAATGAATGTATGGAAACATTTTTTGGCTTCTTAATCCGTTTTTGCTGTAACCCTGCATAGTTGATTAGTAGTTTTTTTATGTGTTGTATGTTTGTTGCGTTTGTGTTTGTTTGTTTTTTGTTGTGTTTGTGTTTTTTTTTAATAATTTGATATTTGCTTTGTTTACAGTTGCATTTTTTGTCAAATTTTAGAATATTTGTCTGTTTTTTAATGTTTAATGATGGTTTATAAATTTACGTTTTCATTGGTTATGATGAAAAATAAATTTGCTCAAAGATGAATTCATTTTAAAATTTTTTTTCCAGGTTATTCATATTTTCAAAAGAGTTATTTACTAACAGTTTCTTAGGTAGTCAATTATTCATTTGTTTATTTCTTCATTCATCCAGTCATTCGTTCATTCATCCGTCAACTCACTCACTCACTCACTCACTCACTCATTCACTCACTCACTCACTCACTCACTCACTCACTCACTCACTCACTCACTCACTCACTCATCCACTCACTCTCTCACTCACTCACCATCGTCCTGAGTGTAGAAATAGTGAACTTCCGTCCAGTTATAATGACGTAGCAAATCTAAAATGGCGGGAACCAAGTAGGGATGGGCGTGTAGCCCGAAATATTTAGGCACTTCCGTAGTTGAATAATATTGGTCGAAGTTGTTGTGGTGGTGCCGGAGATGGTTGGAATGTTGATAACCGTGTCGGTAGTATGGATTTTGCGATTTTGTCGGTGTCGACGATGATGACGATGATGATGGTGCAAACGTTGAATAATTATCCAACGGAGATGATGAAGATGTCGAAGATGACGAAGACGATGATAACACAGTTGATTTGAATGAAGAAGAAGAAGAATATGAAGATGACGATGATGATGATGTGACGTGTGTGTGCACGTGGTAGGGGTGAGATGACGTAATGAAAGGCATTTGAAAAGTTGATGAATAGGATCTGATGATGGCCTGGGAAGAGAGTGAGTTACTCACAAACATCATCATCACTCCTTTCTTCATTAACTCGCATACTGCGTGTAGTGTTTAAAATTTGATATAAAATTGTTAAACAAAATTTTAAATTAAGTAAATTAATTTGTTAATTTTTATTTATTAGCAAATTAAAATAAATGGATCTGTAGAAACAACAACAACAACAATAATTTACACTAGAATTACAAAAATTCTATAACATTTCAATTATATTATCACGAATAATTTAATTTGTTTTCATAAAAATGAGACTTCAAAAAAGTTTTGAATTATTTCTCCGAAAGTACATCATCGCCAGTGGATGCTCAATATTTCATTAAATCAACCTTATAAATTTTTCATTAATTTGAACATTTTAAAATTATTTCGAAATTGCAAAAACGTGCCTAGCATAAACTTCCGGATCTTATTTTTATCTCAGAAAAAAAACCATGTTTACAAAAAGGTTCAGTAAAAATGAAAAAACTGCTTAGCGAGAAAAGCAAGAGAAAGAGAGAGAGAGAGAGAGAGAGAGAGAGAAGAAAAAAGAGAGAGAGAAAAAAAGAGAGAATAACAGAAAGAAAGAGAAAATGAGAGAGAAAGAAAGAAGAAACAAATTTTATTAACGCTCAAACAAGCGAACAAATTAAACTCTAGATAAATGGTGATCACAATATATATAATATGTACTTGTGCTTCGTTTAATCGTTTAGTCACAAACATCATCGTAAACAAAACATTATGTAATTATACGCCTTGTTATCATTTTTACTTTCACCATCATCTTCATCATCATGCACATTTATATCATCATTTGTTCCATCATCATCTATATTAATATATATTAACATCATTAGCATATTCACTCACTTTCATTACAGACTAACTAACATCTATATGCCAAATCATTATCCCTGATATCATCAACAAAAAATTAACATTGATGCCAACATCTGAAAATTTGAAACAACCTGTAGCAGTAACAACAACGACACAACTACATCGACAAAAAAAATCAACAACTAAACCACAACTAACAACAACAACAACATTGCTGGCAACAACATTAGCGCTCTTGGAAACAACCTCAGGCGGCCTAATCAACGAAATTATTGACTGCATCGAGTCAAAACTGCGACGAGATTCACAATAACGACCACAACAGCCACCAGACCACACCACACCTCACCACACCTCACCACAACCGTACCACACTACACCACACCTCACCACAACCGTACCACACTACACCATACCTCACCACGACCATACCACACTACACCACACAAGAATATCCGTCTCATGGCAGGAACAGCCCCCACACCATTAACAAGTCATCCATTTAATGTGTTCCTTCAATAAAATCTATCACACCAGTTCATCAAAGACTACTCGCACGCAAAAGCATTGCGCAACTAAAATGCTTGGATAAACAATCTTTTTTTTTTCCTCACCAAAACAACATCAAAATTGATAACATTAACAACAATAACATTAATTTCATCAGCAACAACATTGATTGTATCGGCAACGAAGATAATGATGATTATTATAATGATACAACTATGACAACAAGAACAATGAAGACATCAAAGCAAAACAATGTTTGTAGCCATTTGTTGGATGGATATTAATATTGTTCTAGTGTATTAATGTTATATGTGTGTTCGTGTGTGTGTGTGTGTTTGTGTGTGTGTGTGTGTTTAGATATGGGTGTGAGTGGGTTTGTGTTTGTATATACGTGTATGTATGTAACATCGTCATCGTCGTCATCATCGTCATCGTCGTCTGAACATAAACAACAATCCCGAAATTTTCCTCCTCCATCGTCAAGCATCCATTATGTCACGCTGCTCAAAATTACGTGACTGATCAAACAAAACAAACTAGCAAACAAAACAAAACCATCAAGCAAAACAAACAGACAGAACAAACACAAACACAAACATACAAAACAAACATAAAAACATACAAACACACAAATATAAATATATACCCACTCACACACAAACATGCAAGCACAAACATACAAACACACACATACAAACATAATCCCATATTCCATTGTAGCCAAGTTGCCCTCAATCCATTCAGAGCATCATTGCATCTCACGCTGACGTCATTACAATAATTCCAGTCGTCCAATCTAAATTCAGTGCTCATCTACTCTTTAATTAAATTCATTAATCACCAATTACGAATTTTTATTTTCATATTTAAAATAAATACACAAAAAAAATTCATACATTTCTTGAAAACATTTATATGAAAATGACCTTGAGAACATCTGGTAGTACATAAAAGCAAACTTTTACATGATTTTATATAAACTAACGCAGCGAAAGCCAACAATTATGACAATAACAACAAATAGCGACATTAGTAACAACAACAAATAACATAAATGACAAAAACAACAATGATAATAACATCAATGAGAAAAACAATCACAACATAAACAACAAGAACAACAAAACAACACGAACAACACCGACATCTTCCCGTCAACACATTTTGAAAATAAAAAAAAAGTATTAAAAAAACTTAACGGATCCACAAATAGGAAAGAAATGTTTGAAATAGGTCAATCAGTCATTAACGCTCCAACAACAGTAACATTTTAAAACATGTACTTAAATACGCACAAATTACTTTTAAAAACATGCAATCGTGTGTTTGAATCTGTTAATAAATTGAAGATATCAACGAAAATTTTCAAAATTATTTCATATCACTCATAACGTTCACCCTAAAAAATCTCAAAATAAATTCAAGCTAAACAATCTATGAGTACACAAGCAATATAACCATGAAGAAATTGGCAAAATCATATTGAGCAATAAAGAAAAAAAGACGAAAAAAAAACAAAAAACAGACACAAACAAACAGACCTTATTTTAAAAACATAAAAAAATTTTTTTGCTCGTTCTAACTTCTGCACAAACCGACCACAGTTCTTGTTACATGCTTCCTACGCCTCATATCGTTCCTACATAATGACTGCTGCTGTAATTTTAGTAGGGCCACAATGTTTTAAAGAATAGAAGAAAATATGTATAAAAAATAATTTTTAAGAAGTTTGTTTTATTTGAAATAATGTAGATTGAAGCGATGAACTCGTTCAAAATTGTTGCAGTAAAATAGTTTGAAAAAGCAATAGTTCATTTCAAAGACGGATTTTAAAAAATTCATTGTTCATTAAAAATTTAAAGTTCGTTTCAAAGACAGACTTTAAGTTCGCACAAAAATTCTTTCTTCGTTGACATTTAATTTTTCCAACTGGAGAAATGTACTAATAACCATTCAACCAGGCTGCGAATGACTTCATTCACGTTTGCCTAGAGAGACATCCAACCTGCAATCCTTTTTTTCAAAACAGTGTATCAGCTGTCGACCGAAACCAAATCTTTTCCACAAGACACGACAACTCTTTTATAACCATGCTGTTTTTGTTTGGATTTCAACATTTAGAAAGAGGTAGAGTTGAGATTTTCAGAGCTTTGCAGCATTGTGAACAACGAGAACATACTAACTCACTAACAAACAAACACATCAACATACAAACACATCAACATACAAATACATCAACATACAAACACATCAACATACAAACACATCAACATACAAACACATCAACATACAAACACATCAACATACAACTCATCAACATACAAACTCATCAACATACAAACACATCACATCAACATACAAACTTCGAACACATACAACGGAAATCAATGGCGACGATCGTAAAAATGAAAATAAAGCTCAGAAAATCGTTGCAGTTACATTTTTAATTCAATTTTTCACTAAAAAAAACTTTTTTGTTTCATTTGTATTTTTAAAATTTTTTTATAAGTTATGTAATGTGGATGTCGTTAAAACGTTGTAGATTTTTGTTTTGAAATAGCAGAGCATTGCAAATATGTGTATGTGTGTGTGTGGTGTGTGTGTGTGTGTGTGTGTGTGTGTGTGTGTGTGTGTGTGTGTGTGTGTGTGTGTGTGTGTGTGTGTGTGTGTGTGTGTGCGAGACACAAAGTTGCGTGTTTGTCTGGTTAGGCTACATGTGCATGTTTTGTTCTCTTTCTCATAAATATCCCGTCCGAACAATGAAAAGCTGTGACTAGGTAATTTTTTGTTTCGTAACACTCAGAGCACAAATGGTGTTTATTGATGTTGCATGGACCATTGCTGCTGTTGCAGTCGTCACCGCGGCTTCAAGATGAGTTGTGGTCGACTTGATGTTTAGAAAGCAATTATAAGGATGATTGACGAATGGAACTGCTGTTGTTGATGGTTAACATTTGTTGGCTGCAATGATGTTTTGACAATTGTATGCTGGGCGATCGTCTGCTATTGGATAAACGTTTAATCATATCTTACTATCAGAATATTATCTTGGGTCACAACGCAATGTCAAAAAATGTTGAAAGACATCAACCAAAAACAAATTAATCCCAAGATAGATACGAATCTTTCCATAATCGTAATAATTACAACATTCGTATTCATAAAATTTATCTTGATGCTCCGACATGGAGACGAGCAGCAGACGCAATGTATATGCTAATTACGCTTCAAATTCGTTCATGTACGTGGTTTAGATGGGCAAACGAAAATTTTTTGTACGGGATTTTTTTGAAAGAAAGAGTGCTCACAGCTGATGTAGTTCATTTCGATTTGTTTTCAAGCTTTTTAGTGTATGAATGAATTTTAAAATGAAGATGCATGAAGATTCACGAGGACAATTTCTCTTTAAATATTTTCATGCAATCTTCGTAAATATATTAAAAAAAACAAGAGCAAAAACACAGATACTACAATGATTATGTTGAAAAAGTAACTGATGGTGAGTAGGATGGATATGATGATGATGGCGACAATCTTGATGATAACAAGTAGAAATAATAATAATATTATTATTATTGTTGTTCTTATTAATTATCTCATAATTAATTCTTCGCGGTATTACGAGCAAATTCACGCATCATACAAACTGCATGTGATGTTTTATGGGGATCTCCTTTGCGGTCGAATCCGGTCAATGCCACATCAGGACCAGACACTCTGACCATTATACCGTCTGGCTACTGATTATGTTGATGTTGACAACGACAATGAGGACGATGATAAGGATTTATAGAAAAATTGTTGATGGTATGGCGAAGCATAAAGATAAATATGATGACGACAACGATGATGATGATATTAATTTCGGTAATAGAACGCGTTGCTAAAACGAATAATTATCATTGATACCTCATCTGATCAGATTACTGATAAATTCGGGAACTGATGATGATAAGAATCATCGTCATTATCATCATCATCATATCATTATTATTGTCATCATTACCATCATCATCGTCGTCGTCATCATCATCATCATCGTCGTCGTCATCATCATCATCGTCACAACAACAGCCAACGTCGTAGGCAACCATAAGAACTACACTGATCCAAGTGCATCGACGTACATGACGCGTTTGTGACGTCATAAAACTCCAGCCAATCACTGTCGTTATATTTGTATTTAAATTAACCTTGCCATTTCATTTGTTTTAATTTCTTTACGAAAGTAATTACAAACGTCAAACAATTCCATTTGTATTATTCCACATTGGATTATATTGAAAAATAAAAATTGAGGAGAATAAAATAAGTATTCAAAATATTCAAAAACAACCTCCTATTATACGTACTGTATACACACACACACACACACAACACACACACAACACACACACACGTATAAAACATACACATACATATACACACACATACATATAACAATAACTATATTTTTATAAAGACTAAATCCTACATGAAGATATCAGTATGTAGTTTGTATACAGATGTGTAGTGTTTCTATAATGATTTTGTATGTTTCTATATAAAATTCACACATCAACAGTGTCTTTATGAGAATACCTGTAAAGTAAATGCGTATTTATAAGGTATTTATACCTATTTTTAAATTGTTTATCAACTGACCGGATGTCCCAAGAATGAATGAGTTATCTTTCGGAGTTTTTTTAATCTCGAGTTTGATGTTTAGTCTGTTTTTGTCGTAGTTGTTGTGTATGAGGGTGACCAGCTTGCAGGCCAGTATCGTGTCCTGGTCGTCTAGATCTTCTGATATAAGGACACCTGGCATGGTTGTGTGTTTGGGTACTGTTGTTGTAGTGGTATTTTGTTGTTGTTGGTCATGGTGGTTGTAAAATTAATTTTTTTTATAAATTTTAACATTTTTAAAAAAATTGTTGTTGTTGTTGCATTTCATTGATAGATTTTAATATTTTTCTAAATGTTTGTGTCTGTACATATAGCTTTTTGGTCTGAGATGCGAATACCCCAATAGGCAAAATTTTGGATTTTTTTTTAATCATTCACCGATGTTTTCTACACCACCATGCTACGCCTCAAATATTGGATGATTTTTTGCGATAAAATATTAAGTGATCACATTTTAACATTAGTTTGATATCCAGCTACTTAGTGCAATGAAGCATGATTTGATGGTCTCAAATCCGAAAAACCTCTCAGCGAAACTTGACATAGTGATTCGTTTTGTTTTTTTTTCATTAGTTTTTAGTTGTATTAAAACATATTTTTCTTTTTGTTTTTTGGGTTTGGCGATTTTACACGTGGATAAGAATGAGAAAAAGAATTTTTTCTAATTTAATGTTAGTTAGACCGATCTATTGAAGCTGACGGTAATGACACTGTTGACGCTGGTGATGGTGAGGATTATGGTGATTGTGATGATAATGACGATGGTGGTAGTAAAAGTAGCAGATGATAATGATGATAAAGATGATGATGGTGTGGTGGTGATGATTGCAGTTATGATGATGATATGATGATGAGAATCGTGCCGTTGATAATGATAATACGATTTTATGATGTTCTTGACTAGGATAGTCCTGTGATGAAGAAGACGACGATGACGACGATGGAGACGATGATGACGAAGATGATGAAGATGATGACGAAAGAGGTGTGATGAGAGACGCAATTAATGCAGGCAAATGGTTATAACTATGGAAGCATAAATTTCAATCGAGCCAGTTTGCGATCAGCTAGATAATGCAATATTACCAACGATGATGATAATAACGATGGTGGCGATGATGTTGATGAAACTGACGTTGCTTTTGGTGATGAAGATGAAGACG